CCTGGCATCCTCCAGTCTCCTCTCCTCCCTTCCCACTCTTTTAGCCCCACGGCTGGCTGGAGTTACAGGTGAGAGCCACACCCAACTTTATGTGGGGGCCTGGGATCGGCACAGCGCTTTACCCACTGTGCAGTCTCCCCAGTCCACATTCTGTTTATGATGACTGAAGGCCACTGCATTTGGCATCACAGGTCTAAAACCACTCTTAGTTTCTCTCATCAACGTAACTAATATGACACTCATCTGGATACCGAGCACTGTCTACATTTATGATATAAACTCCAGTGTAACTACCTAGTCCTTTTTCACATGAATATGCAAATTAGCATGTACATTTTTAAATTTCAAGGTGGACACTTAGTAAACTTTATTTGTGTGATTTGCTTTTTTTTTTTTTAATGTGGCCTGCAAGATGGCTCAGCAGATAAAGTCTGATAACCTGAGTTGCCCCATACACAAACACAAATATAAAAGTACTTTTGATTCCTCTCCTCCTCAACACAGCTCTTCCTCTGGGTATTTATGCTGAGGAAATCCCATTATATTTCTTCATGCCAGGCCTGCACTAAGTAATCTGAGCATGAAGACAAATTCAATAAAATGAAAACTCATTTCTCTTCCAAAATTTTGATTTTAAATTAAGTTATAACCAAAGCCATAATTTTAAAACTGAAAAATTAGATAGCCTCGTTAAAAACTAAATGACTCAGCTGAGGCTGCTTCAAAGCTAAATGACTGGGCTAAAAGCCTGGGGTATAAACCATCTGTGATGACCACCCATGGCTCGAGAAGGCAGCCCCTGATTAGGAGCATCAAGATGCCAGGAGAGATGGCGTTGAGGCTGATGGGAGTAGTTACAGAGCAATCGCCACTATATCCTGAGTACTGGAATGTGATACAGTTAGACTCCCATTAACAATGGCTGTTTACCATACTGAGCAATATGAAACTTCGATTTCAACTGCATTAGCTCACTAAAGAGGGTTAGGTAATTCAGAGAGTGAATTGTGCATTCACACAGGGCCTTTCCACTTACAAACGTGTCACTGAAATAACAGCTGTATGCCCACGATTTCACCCTGAAATAACAATCACAAAGCAGGTTTTTCATCTTGAAGTAAAGCTTTACATCTGCCATCTCCTTTCTTCTTCACACACCATTGGTTTTACCAGTCAGCACTCACAGCTTCTCAACCTGCCACTAGAGTTTAGTGGGTCCTCCCTCACTGGTGTCACCCTCGCCTCTGAGAGCTTTCCTTCATCACCACCCATGGAGACCAACTCACTTCCAGTCCGACATTTTTGTTTATGTGAACAGGGAGGGGCTCAAGTACTCCAGAATGCTCAGGAGTTCCTGGCTACTATGTAGCAAGAATGTCTTGAACTGCAGCTCCTTCAACCTTGACCTCCCAAATGCTAGAAATACAGGTGCCACCATTCCTGGCTCCAAACTATGGTTTTCTTCCATGTTGGGTCATATTCTTCTCTGTTCCAAATGACCATACTCTAATTACATATTCTTTGATTCACTCTCTTGCTGACTACCTCTCTTATAGAATCCAAATCTCAAACACTGGAGAGACGGTTCAGTCAGTAAAGCCTTTGGTGCGTAAGCAGGAGGACCTGAGTTCGGATCCCTAGCATACACATTTAGTTTCTGTTTGCTTGTTTTTGAGATGGGGGATCTCACTAAGTAGCTCTGGCTAGTCTAGAACTTGCTGTGTAGACCAGGCTAGCCCTGAGAAGGCAGAAAGACAGGCAGATCCCTGGAGCTTTCACTGGCTTAACACCCTAGGCAAATCAATGAGCTCTGAGTATGGTAAGAGAACCTATCTCAAAATATAATAGAGAGTGATTTAAGAAGATATCCAACATGGACCTGTGCCCTCCAAATATAGTCACACGCATGTGCACCCATACACAGGAACATGTACAAACACATGCACCATGCACATACAATCCACAGTTCACTTCTAAGATTTGTCCTCTTCCACACTCTGACACAGACACACAAACAACCACCAGTAACATTAGTCTCATTCAAATCTTTGCTTCTCAGCTAACTTAGAAATATGTATTGTCATGCCCAAACATCTCATTTTTTAAAATTAGGCTCTACTTTCTTTGGAGGAGTATTGCGGGAGGGGGTGGGTGGGTGTGATATGATACAGGGTCTCATGTAGTCCAGGATAACCTCAAAGTCACTAAGCAACTGAGGGTTTCCTTGGCTTCCTACTCCCCTGCCCTCCTCCATAATACAGGTGCTGGGAAGGTTCTGCACCAGCCATACCCTCCTGCTGCTACTCTCCTCTTTTTTTCCCTCATGTTTGACTACTTGGCTTCTGCTCTGCAACAGGCTGTACTTCTCTCCCAACTTTCCCACTTAAAATTTTTATTACTGGGAATTTTTTCTCATTTTTTTAATTTCTAGTTTATTTACTCACTGCATCACGGAGGGAACAGGAATAATTTACAAATCTTATCAACTAAAACGTTTAGAGCAAACACATAAATATGTATGTTTTTAAAAGGTTGATTTCATTAGCAGTTTAAGCCTAAATCCAATGATTTATTTTTTCCGTCAAACTGAATTCTCTGTGAAAAACCAAAAGGTTCTATCACAGTGTAGACACAAGAGTTACAAAAGAAACCTGAAGTAAAAGTATAACCCACACAAACACATTTAAAATCAAATATTGCCTCATTTTCCCTAAAAATACAGAAGGCAAAAAGCAAGTGTATGCCCAATAAAGATCTAGAAAGGGTTTCAGAGAACTAAAAATCTCAACTATCCAACTCATCCTTGATTTTTGCAAGTGACTCTTTACGAAAAACAGAACATCTGACAGCAATCAATACAGAGGTGAGCTACATTTTTATCTGTTTGAGACGGGTCATCATAACAGATTCCACCTGAACAGAAAACAGGGAAAGCAGCCCCCAGGATCTGGCCATGATCATGGGGAGCAGCACACAGGGATGAGAGAAAGAACTTGGGAAGAAAATGGAGAAGAAACACAGAAGCCTTGATTATACAAGGTTGTGCTGAGACATGCTGCAATGATTTCTGCTCTGCTGCTGGCAGCAGACACACGTGAGCAAGGCAGAGCAACAGACCTTTTCTTCCCAAGGAAATATTTATAAGGCAAGACACAGTATTCCATTACCAGTCTTTAGGATCAAAACAAAAGTAAGCAAAAACCTAGAACTGGAGAAAAGTATGAGGAGCTGATGAACTCCCAAGTAAGTATGTCTTATTGACACAAGCACAGGTATGTCAAGGGCCCAGTGCCTCAGACTCATGGGAATGGGAATGGCAAGGCAAGGCCTCTGTATTCCTCTGAATGTGAGAACTAATGTTTGCAGGGTGTGCAGAAAGAATCAGCACAATGATGACTGCAGCCTGAGACTGCTCCCTCATGGAGTACCCCTCCCAAGAGTAGCTAACCTGCCTCTTCCTTGTCCTGCTATAATGCTGAGTTTCCTGGCCACTGCATTCTGATGCAGTCCCATCAGAGATCACCGCCCACTGGATCCCAGCTTTTCTAAATGATGTCTGTCTTTTCTTCATTCTCTGACACCTCAGACAGGTCAATCTGGAAGCAGCGAAGGTTGCAATGGAAAAGTATAATTTCAGGCAAGAAGACACACTTTATAACTAACAGCTTTCTGCCATGTGATCTTAGCAGTGATAAAAACTAAATCAACAGTTGTCCAGGAGATAACCTCCATTCAAAGAAGGTTTCTGTTTCCAGGTCTCTCTTCTCCAAAAGGAAAAACATCAAATTGTACACAGACAACAGCATAAAATAAAAAGAAATACCAGGAAAGAGATGTCTCAGCAGTTAAGAGTGTTTGCAATTCTGCAGAGGACTGGTGTTTGCTTCCAAGCACCAGTATCAGGTTATCAGGTGGCTCACAACCACCTGCAACTCCAACTTCAAGGAATACAAGATCCTCTTCTGGCTTCTGAACATACCCACACGCACATGTGCATACACACAAAAACACATAACTAAAAATAAAATAAAAATTTAAAAACAAAACCCTATATCTTATCTTAGCTCCCCATTTATTCTTAGGCAATACGCCTTTTCCACAAGCTAGTCTACATAGAGATTAATGCTTTAAACCTTAAATATTCAGTATCAGTTTGCTCAGAAGACTTAAAGAAACTAAGGTATGCTTATAATGAAGGTAAAACTTAGTAACTGAATACTTCCTTACAAAAAGATACCTGAATTTGCCTCAGCTATAAAAGGGTGCATAGGAAAAGTCGTGTGATAGGTGGTCTGGAAATGATAAAATAGTACAAACTTCAGAACAATTTTATACTGAATTAATGTAGTACATTCCTCCTTGGAACCATGGGCAGAACCCACTGTGTGAAACATGTACTTATTCTCTACCTCTTCTGAGTTTTCCAAGCTCAACTGGCCATACCTGGAGAGGCAGTTTATAGCCAAACAGTGCCCAAGACATGCACCCCATTGTCAACTTCTCCACCCAACACCCAAAATGCTCGCCCCACTGACACCATCTAACCAACCAACCAGCCCACAAATGCTCACCCAACCGATACCATCTGGGGTGGTCTGAATGAAAATGGCCCCACAGGCTCAAAAGGGAATGTCATTATTGGGAGGTGTGGCCTTGCTGGAGTAGGTGTTGCTTTGTTGGAGGAAGTGTGTCACTGGGAGTGGGCTTTGAGGTCCCAGATGCTTTGAGGCCCTCCTGGCATTGTGCTTCCTGCTGATCCAGATGTAGAACTCTCAGCTATCTCTCCAGCACCATGTCTACCTGCAGACATGCCACCATGCTTCCCACCAAGACAATAATGGACTAAACCTCTGAACTATAAGCCAGTTAAATGTTGTCCTTTGTAAGAGTTTTCGTGGTCATGATTTCTCTTCACAGCAATAGAAGCCCTAAGACACCATCTAACCAAACAGCACCCAGAAAGCTCACCCCACTGACAGCTGTTTTCCTTTCCTTCTTACCTGATAGTGTGCCTGGGCTTGCTGAGCAGAGTTCAAGGTGACATTGCAGAGTTTGCAGAAGAGGGGCTTACACAGCTCCTCCAGGGCAGAGTCTGGCTCCTCTCCCTTAGTTAACTCCTCTTCCCCTGCCAGAGGCAAGGATGCCTCCTGCCCAAAAGGCTTCTGTGGTGGAAGCTGCAAGGTCCTTGTGGACCTGGCAGCCACTGACATAGGAGGAGAGGTTGAGGGCCGCTTAGGTGGAGGAAGCCCAGCCTGCTGCAAGAGAATCATCAGGCAGGAAAGCCACAGGCATAATCCAGTGGATGATGAGGGGTGGAGTCTTCAAACCTAAAGCAATCAGGGAAGGAAATGAAAATGAGATCTCAGCAGTATGACATAGAAATGATACCAAAGTCTTTCTCCTCTCCAAACCCACTGTTAGGGCATCTCTCCTTAGCCTTAGCTTAGCCGACTTTCCCTGCCTGGTTATCCCACTAACATAAGGTTTTCCCCTGAGAATAGCTTTGAGATTTGCTTTTATTTTGCTGGGCTCAGTTCCAAATGCCATCCCTCTGGCCATAGGCATTAGCAGCATTGCATCCATGTCCAATTAAGCTGAAAAGTCACATGGCTGGGATTCGACATCAAAGGTCATCCAAACCCCTCCCGTCTGAAATGCTGAAATACTCTTGATGGTAATATGCATAACCAAAAACAAACAAACAAGAGAAAACCCAAAGGCAAGAAACTTCCACCCAAAGGATCTCACAGAGTGGAAAAGATTATCATCTCTTTGAAGAATCCCTTCTTTTCTTTTAGGTATTTTTGTCTTATTTGTTTTTACTGTATGAGTATGTATGTACACCACGGCACAAGCAATTCTTCCACCAGTACACATGTGTATACCTAGGAGGCATAGCAAGAACTTTACCCACTGAGCCACATCACCAGCCACTGTTTTGTTTTTTTGTTTTTATTGTTGTTGTTTTTAAGACAGGGTCTCACATAGCCACGGATGGCCTTAAATTTGCTGTGTTACTCTTGATCTTTCTGTCTCCACATACCAAGTGCTAGAATTACAGTCCTGCCCAGCCACACCCAGCCACCTATCAGATCTTTAAAGCATAACCTAGGAGAGGGCAACATCAAATCTCTTTCGGAGCAACCAACAAATAGTTAGGCTCTGCAAGATAGAGTTGACAGAAGCAGCCTGTGGACCTCAGATGGCATAATGTGCTGTTTGGAAGAGAGTTTTGTTTTGCTTTTGTTTTTAAGTTGAATTAGTTGTCAATATTTGAAAATCAAAAGCTTCACAGAATCTAGCAATGAAAGGATAATCTGGCAACACTACACCCACGTCCTCCACCGAACACAACCACCTGTTTGGTGCCAAAAACACCACACTCCACACCCAGGCCAACCTTCTCAGCACCCCCTCAACCCTACTCAGGGCATTGCCTAAAGGCCTTGGGATGGTGACTCTATTCCATACAGCCTTTGTAAAATCAAAATATCTTCTCTCCATCAGGACTGTGGTGACTTTTAGGCCGTTTGTATCATTCCCCTTTCTTCTTAAATAAGGATTCACTCAGTGATGGTTATAATTTCAATTGTCAACCTGACAGGGTCTGGAATTACCTAGAGATGGAGTCTCAGTGAGGGGTGATCCAGATTAGACTGGCTGTGGGCATGCCTATAAGGGATTTTCTTAATTAGGTTGAGGAGGGCAGACCCACCCCAAAAGTGTGTAGTACCACTGCATGGTCCTGGATGGCATCAAAAGGAGATAGAACTGAACACTCCCATTGCTGTCCTGACTGTGGACCCCATGAGACAGCCTACCATGATAGTGTGACCAGCTGTCTCAGGCTCCTGCTGCCTAGACTACCCCACTATGGTAACTGTGCCTTAAACAGTACCACAAAATAAATAAATCCTTTCCCCCTTAAATGGCTTTTGTCAGGATATTTTATCATAGCAACAAAAAAGAAACCAAGGCACTCTCTATTCTGTTGTCCTCAGAAAAGACCCACTATGTCCCATTCCCTCTTCAACTTTATCTGTGATTCCTCCTGCCCCACCCCACCCCCAGTCAGATGGCATCTTTTAGTTCTGACCAATCAGATGGCCTCTTTTAGTTTTGACCACCACAGCAAACACCCTTTGAGGTTTCCAGATTCTAATATTTAAATTAGAATCTTCATTTCAAAGTCTACACTTCCCTCCACTCTTGGTATTGTTAAAACCTTTCTTGGTCAATAGAATGTGGTGTCTTCAGCTGCTGAGGTCTGATTTCCCTCTGAGATGAAGATGTGTAGGATAGGGCAGTAACAGGTTTACTAAAATGACTCAAGGAAACTTTAAAAAGTAAAAGTCTATTTAGCACATTTGGTAAACACACAGTGAGGTGAAGCCACTGACTGGGAAGTCATATAGTTCAGAGCAAGATGAATAGATGATTAGTCGTAGAATTTAACAGTACTTTTTATTAATGGTAATAGCTAGAAAACTGTCCATATCTCTGGAGACACAAAGAAAAGTGATGCAGATTTGGAACATTTAAACGATAAGTTTCTCTGAAACAATATTATTTCTCCCAACTAAATAAAAGGCATCCAAAAAGCAAAAATGATTATGGATATTACGGAGGTGGGTAATGAAACTAAAGAAATAAAACCATCTTTTAAAATAGTTTAACGATTCAGTCATTATTGACCTTGTCATTCACTAACTTGTCATATAGATTCTGTTAGGCCATCGATGTTGTTTGGTCACGGTGAGCGGACAGACAGAGCAGGGTACCAAAACATCCAAATAAAGAAAATCAGCAATACACAGAGAACTCAATCAGCCTACAGCCAGACATGCCTGGGCTTGTTTCTTGCACACTCACTCCCACCTGAGGAAACCCCAGCATGCGTTGCCCCCACTGTGACAAATGGCTTTCCAACAGAAGCAAGGCCCTCCCTCCTCAAGACAGAGGCACAAAAGGCCTAATCCCAGAGCAAAACCCCGGTGGGGGTGGGGTGGGAGGTGTTTACAGTGCAGGCTTAACCCATTACTACATTTTATCTTCATAATGTTCAAAGAAATAGTAGAGATCTCAAAAATGCTGCTGTTATATTTAATAATCAACATAAGGCTAGTCCCCTCTCATAAAAAAAAAATCTACAGGCGACAATCACAACAGGTATTACATTTGGGTAATATATAAATAAAACCAAAGCGTCAGTGAATGCACAAAATGAAACACGGAGACCCAAAACACTCGGAACACGTTCAAACTGCTGCATTAATTTAAGAGACTAATTTAGAAGCTGTTATAAAAATACTTCTCAGATCTTAAAAATCCATCCGATTGGACGCATGCAATGGCATACATGAAGGATGCACAGGGCTTGATGTCCTAATTTGAAAGGGAACTGGAAAGATACTAAAGAAACATCACAGCTCCACCATGTACAGGTTCAAGGGAAATGAATGACCACAGCACAGGTTTCCATGGCTTGGCTGGGGCCTACTCCTCTCGGGCTATATTGCAAACAGCCCTCCCCTTGGCAGAAATGGACCCAGGGAAAAGAAGAAAATCCAGGAACAGGTTCCTGGCGTCCGCATAAAGTAGGGAAGGCTGTCCCTGGGTATTCTGGAGAAGAGAAAGAGACAACCTTACTCAGAGGTCACCAGAACGCGGCAGGCAGAAAAAAAACCAGCCCCAGAGGCTGTTTTACATCACAGAAGGAGGCTGAGACGAAGAGGAGGCCGTGGTGACCCAAGCTCATCGCCTAGGACTCAAAGCTGCGCCCCTGCAGCATCGCCCCCGCGTGTGCCATTCCAGGGCTGGGCGCGCACACACGCACTCCGGTCCT